GGGGCAACGGCGGGCATCGCGGCCGGCGCAGTGGTGGGCGCCGTCGCGGTGGTGTCGCTGGGCATCGCCGCGTTCTTCTGGTTCCAGCGCAGGATCGAGGCCGCCAGGGTGAAGAAGGCCGCCGGGGGGCAGGGGTCGAGCGGCACGAACCCGCAGTCCATGTCCTCGTCGCGCGGGGGGCCCGAGGCCTCGACTGCGGCGGCTGCTACTGATCCCGGGGGCGGCGGTAGCGGTAGCGGTGCTGGTGGTGCCGGCACGCAGACACTGGAGAAGACGGGCGGCGGCGGCAGCGGCGGCAGCGGCGGTTGGCAGTCAACCTTGTCACGGCAGCAGCAGGAGACATTTGGAACCAGCAGCCCGTTCGCGTCCCCCACGCGCAACCAACCCCCGGGGATCACGGGCTATTTCGACCAAGGCATGGCAGACGGCCAACGTTCCGTCTCGCCACTGTCGCGCTCCTCAACGATGGCCTACCCGACCGCCCCTTCCCACGGACTCCAGGCGAACGCGCTGGGGCTGTATGCCGGGAACGAGGCGAGGACGCTTTCGAGCATGGGGCTGCCCGAGATAGTGGTGTCTTCGCCAGACGCCAGGAAGCACAAGGTGCTGATGCTGCAGCAGCCGCCTGTCCGGCGAGATGCCGCTCAGGCTCAAGCTCCGGGTGTGCAGCAGCAGCAGCAGCAGCAGCAGGACCAGCAGGAAGAGCTTATACAGCAGCAACTGCATCAGCAAATACAACAGCAACTCCAGCCGCAGCCGCAGCCGCAATCTCAACCATATTCGCAGGACCGAGAGCAAGGGTGGCAGCAAGAACAGCGACATGGAGCGCAAGAAGAGCGACGGACGGCAGGCGTGGCTATGGGAGCTCCAGAAACAAGCCAGCGATTCGTCGCGAACGGCCTGAGCAGCGAAGACCTGGCGGCTCCTCGACCGATCAAGCCGATTGTCTTCAATCCACCTCACGGCTGGACGCCCCATGTCAGCGACCTTGAGGCCGCTACGGCGACACAGGCCAGAACTGGGCTCTCTCCAGAACTAGAAGCGGAGGAGACGTACTCGGATGGGTATGGACACGACGTTGGATACGCTTATGGATATGGAGACGATGCCGTTTACGAGCACGAGCAGCAGCAGCAGCAGCAGTATGTGGGAAACGACTTGTATCTGCACGAACAGTTCGTGGTAGACGGCACGGGCCCGTCCTACGGATACGAGAACGGTGCTATTCAGTTCCACGAGCACGAGGGAGACAGTGCATACCGACAGCAGCAACACTGGCACCACAGCCCGGAGCCGTACGAGCGGGACGAGCTAGACAGTGCACTCGCGCACGACGAATCCGAGCTGGGAGAGGAGGGTCGGGGGCAGGGGCAGGACGATAACGACAACGACAACGACAACGGCAATGGTGACGACAACAGCGACGGCGACGACGACGACGGCCTGAGCTGGGACTGGGCGGCAGGCTCAACGAGCACGTGGCCCCTGCCGCCAAGGCACGGCGGCGGCCACGACGCGGCCGAGGACAGCGACGACCACGACGACCACGACGACGAGGCGTACAGGAGGTCGCTGGGCCTGCCGGAGCAGATGACGGACGCGGCCTCCCGGGTCCGAGGCGAGGACGACAGCCAGAACGGCGACGACGACGACGGGGACTCGGAGTCCAGGTACTCGTCGGAGACGGGCGGGAGCGAGAGCGTGGGGATATGCGAAATTGCTTACCACAACTTGTAGATGGAGAGGGCAGTGGGGAGCAAAAAAAAAAAGGCAAGGGTCGATACGATACGAACAGAGACTTCTGATGGTTGGCTGCGGCGTGATCTGCAAGCCCCCCCCCCGGACCCGTTATATCCGCCTGCCTACCTACCCAGGCAATGCAGGCTGTTCCGTGTGCGTAACGCATGCAAATAGCCTGGGGCAGGGCGGGGAGGGGAAAGGCACGCATGCGCGCGAGCGCGGCGATAATAGCCAAATGGCGGGAAGGGGGCCCTATCAAGACGTGGCAAGCAGCCTCCCTCCCCCAGCCTGCTTGCTCCAAGGCCGGTGAGGAAGAGGAGGTCATCGGCACAGCAGCCAGCGCCAAGGCCCGGCGCACTACCACCACCCCTTCACCGGCAGGGCCACTGATTGGTTGGTGACACCGGGTGGGAAGGGGAGGGAAGACGGCATTGAGCTTCGCGGCCGACAGGGGGGGAGAGAGGAACGGGAAAAGCGGGCAGGCCACGGCCGGGGCGGGCGGGGGGTGGGCAGCAGCAGGAGCATGTCGACCCCTGGCGGCGACCGTTGAGGAGGACGGTGTGACGGAGAGAGAGTGTGTGTAGCCGGAGATCTCAACGATAGCGAGCAAAGAATGTGATGTTGCAAAAAGGGCTTATCAGCAATGCGGCGTGGGAAATCCAGTCTCGGCATATGGGTGGTGGTGCGTAACCACTTGGGCGCCCTGGAGGTGCTGACACACACACACACACCTACCTATCTAGGTAGGTAGGCATGTAGATATCCCTCCCCCTCCAGATCAAACCCGAGGCCGCCATCCCTTTTTTTTTCTACACCGGTCGTCCATCCCGACGCGGGCCGCCGAGGCCAGGGCAGGGGTGGCCCCCCCTTCTTGACGCCTTCACCGGTGAGGGATGATCGGGGAGGGTTTATCGACAGACGAGCAGACAGGTGGCTTTGCATGTTCGTCCGCGGCACCCCCCTCTCCCGGGGACTCTGGCGAGGGAAACCATGCCATTATGCAATGCAGGGGGCCGCCAACCTGCGTGCCTGGCGCGGCAAAAAACAAACAAAAAACACGAGGCAAAATAAAGGGTTCAGTTGTATCCCTGACGTAACAATCGCACCTTGTTTCCCCGCTATTCGCCCCCCGGCCCCCTTCGACCCCGACCTTGATGGCAGCAATTGGCACCCTGATGGCGGCATCCGACGCACAATGAGGGAGGAGAGGACCCCGATAAGAAGCAAGAAGAAAAAAGTGTAAAAAGGGACCCTGACGGGAAGATTGACGGCGGCACGAGGTCCCAAAGATTAAGTGAAATTGTTAGTGCCGTAAACTTTCCTATTCTTATTTCTTTTCTTTCTTTTCTTTCTTTCTTTCTTTC